TTCTTCGGTCGCGGTTATTCTTGGCTCGGGCTCCGCTCGCCTTCCCTGGACGGCTATTGGTTGGACGATCTGAGGGCGATCCGGGGTGTCGAAGATAACCTGGTCGTCTAGGGCTCGCTCTTGCTGAATTCTGTCCATTTCCGAGTTTATATCGTGAGTTGGAGAATTTCTGTCCCACTACCTGGCGCGCCAATTGTTGATCCAAGTGTTCGACAATAAATTTGTGTTCGGTAAAGGATCGGAAATTCCCGTTTAATGATGCTAACTCGGAAGCAGATTACAGCAAATTATATTATACGTGATAGAGAGGACTGTGTATCGAGCTTGGAAGATATGAGGTTTATTGAATGAGTATTTGAGGTCGGAACTAGATGACGAGTATAAACTCTGCTAAGTTTTTCAGTGAACAGTTCTTGTATTTCTTGATCAGTCGAACTCGATCAGGAGATTCTTTCCTTTTTGGTGTCAGAGAATGTTTGTTTTTAGCTCTCAAATTCTTTTAAGCTTGTCCTCAAAATAGAAAAAAATATCTCTAAATCATGGGATGGGGACTTCTATTTATACTAATAAGTGGAGATAATAAGGTGGACTCGTTGGGCTTCCATCCTCTGGGCCGAGCTCGTCGGGTTTCTGCCTGCTACGCTTCTCCGGAAATGGGCTTCTAAAATGACTATTGTTGAAGCTCATGCCCAACATTCTTAATTTCTATACTTTACTTTTGGTTGTTCATCAATCACATTTAAATTGTATGTATTTAGGTTATAGAACTTTTCCACCTTCAGTTATGCATTGTGACCATATTCGATTGTTGATTTAACTCTTAAATTTGTTGTGACGTGTTTGATTTCGCCTACTCTATATGCTATATTTCGATTTAGATTTTGGTTATATTCTTCTTTTCACTCCGATCTCGCATTTGCATATGGTCATCATCCTTTTTGCCTCTCATATTGTTTTTGCGCAACTATTGGTCTAGTTTTAGTAAGGTAGTAATTAGTAAGTTTGTGATCTAGACCAGCATGATTTTTTTATTTTGGTCAACATATAGAACATCAGTAGACGGGGGAAAACGCCTACTTATGGACGATTTGGTTTACATGATAGACGAATGATTGATGGTTATGTGGTCAGATACAACATGTATCACGATGTTGCTTTGGTGAAGTTACTTGACAACGAATGATTGATGGTTATGTGGTCAGATACAGCAAGTATCACGATGTTGCTTTGGTGAAGTTACTTGACAACGTTCAATATGCTCTAGTGAGTTTCAAATGCTCCCAGTCTCTCTGTCGTGGAATCAGCGTTATCACTTCTGAAACATAAATTATAATAATAGTGTTTATTCAATAAATTAAAACGTATTGGATAAAAAAATAGAGAAATAACTCAAAATTTATGTGTTAAATAGGCTTTAAAATTTTAGCGTATAGAGCTTGTTGAACCGACTTCATCAAACTCATTAATATCCAACATAGATGAACTAGTCAAGTGTTCAAGTGTGAGTAAACGATTTTAATTGATGTTGGTTCTCATTTTAGCGGTGACACTTTGTTGTCTTTTACTATTTCTCAATGATATTTTCTAATTAGTATCCATTTTTTTTAAT